GACACGATCTCCGCAGCCATCGCACACATCAGAAGCAAATGATTCGGCTTTTGATGTCAATCAAGCCGGCCCTTCCAACCAGGCCATTAGTGGCTTTGTTTCAATCAATACTATAGTTTTGCGTTTTGCGATATCGTAATAAATTTTTATTAGGATGATAATTATTATGTTTATATCGTTATTAGGATCGGATCCTAATAACGTTATTATGATTTTATTAACTTATCATGATAAAATCATAATAATGTTATTAGGATTACATCCTAATACTTATTATGTTTTATCATAATATTTATTAGGATTGATCTTAATAAATACCGTGTTCACTTGATAGCATATTGTAATTCAGCCAAGAACAATTTTCAACAGATGGCGCTACTTCAGACAAGTGAAGTGTCCACGGTATTTATTAAGATGAATCCTAATAACATTATTATGATTTTATCATGATAAGTTAATAAAATCATAATACCGTTATTAGGTTCCGATCCTAATAACGATATTGGTGGGAATGCTTATTATTATTAACTTATCATAATAATTTTTTATTACGTGCAAAACTATAATCAATACACCAGTCGCACGATCTCCGCTCTTATCGCACTCAACAGAATCAAATGGTTCCGAAAATACAGGTATATTACCACTCGCATCACCGCATTTGCAAACACCCAGCCCAGGTGAACCATCAGAACCATCACCTATAGACATATATTTGAATGAAAACAGCAACAGCCTTTAACCTGATTTCAGCCACTATGTTTTTTAAATTAGGTTTCCTTTTATAAATTTTGGCCTTTGAATAAACAGTTTGATATCATTTTTATCACAATCCGTTTAAGTGATCATTTAGTTACGTATGGTATACTCATTTTGTGTTTACTGTTGATTGCCTCGGATTTCAAGTGGAATAACATAAAATATTTCGTCGAAAGAAATGAAAAGAAAAATGCGACGAGTCAAGTTTTGTGTGTGAGCTACCGAAAATCTATTTAGAATAGTTTTTTTCATTTCCATTCACGGCTTATTTTGTTTTGACTTGGTGAGCCCGCGCGCGCGCGCGTGTGTGTGTGTGTGTGTGTGTGTGTGTGTGTGTGTTTGTGTGAGAGAGCGAGACAGAGAGAGCATTGTCTGGCTGACGTAAGCGTCGCAGTGCTGCCGCATGGTTGACGCAAGAATTGGCTCAGAACCCGCCTTTTCCTACTACTCTGGGGTACTGATGAATGGGGCGTGATACATTCTGATTTTGTATATACCATATACACAAACAAATTGTTTGCGGTTTGTTAGATATGATTTAAGTAAAAGGATAAAACAGGGGTTTATTGTTCCTATATGTGGTCGGTATATGGATAAAAATTTGACATTTGAACAAGCAGCAATCAATTCATTTTCATCAAACAGAAAGTCTTGTATTGTTACACTTTCGGCTTTACTGAGAATTCCTTTCAATACGTTAATCCGTTCCATTGTTAAATCAATATTAAAATAAAGAGTCTTACGGGAGTAAGACGAACTTTTCCGCACGGTGTTAGTTGCGTATTCTATTAAGAAAGTTTAAAATAATACTTATTCGATTTTTCAAGCCTTTCAAGCGGCGTAAAGTTCGAGACTTTGTATGCTACCTTAATGGCGTGAAACTTTGCACAGGTTATTTTTTTCACAGAAAATTTTCTAAATTAATTTTGTATGGGAGGTACCCCTAATTTTGATTGAAATCTCTTCAAACTTTCAGAATGTTATTTTTTTGTGTAAAAAATAGACTGTGCAAAGTTTCACACCATTAAGGTAGCATACAGGCATGGCTCCCATACAAAAATTCAATTTTTTTGTGATTTTTTCAAGGAAACTGTATCAAAAATTGATTGTATCAAAACTAACCTCGGATTCGGTTTTCTCGTGCCAAAAACCCCCCAATACATATTTTTGAGTGTTTAAGTCTACACTAAGTATGACTTTTGGACGAAAATTGGACTCTTTTTCATACAATGATTTTTGGATAGAATAGATCCGTAAGATCTCCGCAAGATCCGGATCCAAGCGTGCGTACGTAGCCGCATGATACAAACATTCGTTATTCCGTAAGGGTATGGCATGCGAATCAAAGTAGGCGAGATAAGAATAACGAATTTGCGTGTGTATTATATATGTATGCATCATGCGGCAGCGTACGCACGCTTGGATCCGGATCTTGCGGAGATCTTACGCATCTATCCTATCCAAAAATCATAGTATGCTCTTTTTCATAGGTATCACTCCAGGCGTGAATTTTTTTTCCATCAACCAAAATCGCTCAAAATCTAATGATTTCTATTTTTCGTGACCCCCAATCATCCTGTACAGTTAGATTTTAAATAACTTTTCTGGGGGGTGAGATAATCGATGGACAAACTTTGCGTACAGAGGACAACGTACGACATACGACGTGGAACAGACCCACAACAACCATGCCCAAAACGGCCTGATTCGACTTGTTTTATTGACGTTAAATTTTTCAATGGAGCTACATAATGTGTAAAATTCTCAACTCCAATGTCATCAAACTCATCTTCGTCATCTGTGGAATGTTCCCATCCTGTAAAGCATACGTTTTGAATGACATTGTTAAAACAATCTTAATTGACACCGTCATGAGAAACACCAAATGTATAAAATTCTGAATTTCCGGTTCCATAGTTTTGTTGAAAACAATGTCCAGCTATTCGTTGCATTCGTTTACATGTTTGTCCCATTGTTGCTAAATCTTCAGCGATAGAAAGTCGAACACTTCTTCGAAACAGTCGATGTTAAGTCTGAAAATATCAGCCAATTGTTGTGCATCCTTTACAGCACGTTCAGCTGGATTATTTGCATCATCATTCGATTTCAAATTCTTGGTACTCTGTCCACTTTGGTCGGCGTTTTGTAATTGGCTCATTGTGTCTGCGTTGTCAGTCTACTGATTAAATGAAATAAAGAATTCTTATGTAACACATATAATGAGTTTTTCAAGAATAAAAATCAGTAAATGAACCACACTGTTGCCTGTATTATAGAATTACAAAATCTACAGAATATTAGAAAAAGCAGCTCTCTGTTTGTCACGTTACATGTATATCGCCCCATTGAGTCAAGCCAATGAAACAAGTTTTACTCTCATCGTTACCGATTATATCACACAGTAACCAAATAGTGTGATTCGAATCACTGACGCAAATAAGATGAACTAAACGCAAAATAAAGAAATTGAATGCTTACCTTCAATTAATTGTAGAAAATTCAAAGCGGCGAATACAACCTTATTCCTTTTTTTCTTCAAATGACAACTGAGTTACTTTTTTTGATAACGAATTTGACACTTCATTCCAATAAACTGACAATTGATAAGTAGAAATTCAAATATTAAGTAAAGTGTATACTCAACCACAAGATCGTTTAAATTCAATTCATGTTTACTACGGGTTTATTTTGTTGTTTGAAATGTAAAAAAAAACAAGAAGTTTTTATTGAAAAACTTAAAAAAATAATACATTATAAAATTTAAAATGAAAATATGCATATACAAAAACACCAAAGAAATTCTTTTCCCCAAATGAATTTTGTTCCAGTGCCTGACTAACGTTTATATTCAAACTACATTCGTACATGTTGAAAACGAAGGGAAAACCAACGCAAATCACACTTTACAAATGATAGCAATAAGAGTATATGCGATAAGAAATCGTTGAAATATATTCTGTTTTTCTCTCTGTATTAAAAAACAGCTCAAGAGTTCTATAATGTTGATTGATTTATTGCTGTGCTTTATCCGCCGAATCGAAGTTGATGTTCTCTCATCTAAGAGCCTTACTCAAATCATCTCTATTGCTTAATGTATCATCAAGCTTCAACATCGTTTTCGAATTGTCTGTGTTTGTCATAACTTAAGCGAGGTGTCAGTTATCAAATTGAAACCTTTTTTCCCGAGCCCAATCCACAGATATGATATTTTTCTTTTCGGAAAATTCGTTCAGGAAAATTATTTTCCTTGTAAATTACGTTTTTTTGAGAATTTGTATGGAAATTCAAAAATTATTTGATTTATAATTCAAGTTGAAGTTTCACGATTTTGATTAAAATCACTCAGTTGGTAGCTCTTTGGATGTTTGCTTCCAAAAAACTTAGCCAGAATGCTCGATCGACTCTGTGAATATTGGCTCTAGTAAAACCATTTACCACATTTCTGTGTATTTCCATGCATTTTCGAGCAAAAGTTACTATAGCTCTAATTCAAGTTCTACGATTCTGTTTAAGATCGCTCAGTTTGTGGCTACTTCGAGGTCCTTTCGAAAAAATATAACAGAAATACTCAATCAACCTTTTAAAGAGTAGCTTTATTACAACGAACTACAGAATGTCTGTGGATATTCAGGATTTTTTGGACGAAAGTCGATATGTCTCGATTTCAAATCATACAATTGGTTACTTTTTCTGCAAAACCCTGGTAGCTAGAAATATTTTTTAAATTCAATAAACTCGTTTACACATCGATACATCAAGCATTGCTTCCAATTTCAGTATATTTTATGGATTATCTCTGTATTATACGATGCAAACATAAAATTTGACTCGATTAACCGAAAAATCAGTCGTTTTATAAATACCAAGTGAACATTATCAATACAAAAAGCGAACAAGAGCAAATAGCGCGCATAACAATTGTGAATAAGTAAGAATTCTTATTCTTCACTTTTATATTTAATTGTGATTTCATTTTTATAGATTTGTGATTGTGAATATCATCTGTTTTAGTGTTTATCGTTTAAATTTGTGTGACTGAGAAAAAAACCCTACTATAGATTCGTCACGCGATAGACTTAAAAACAAAAAAAACCGCATTATCTTCAAGTTCCACGAATCTATAGCAGCTTTTTATTCTCAATCGTTCTTTTAAATTTATTTTTGGGTCAGACATCATTTAATCGGAGCCCTTACCACACATATATTTCTCACGATTGTTTTTAAAATACCAAAATAAACATATTTCTATTAGATCAAAAACGAAATTGGATGGGGTAGTTAAAGTCCGGTCGCCGTTGTACTAAAGTGTCAAAAGTGAAAGTATATGTAAAAATGTTCCAAGGTTTATCGAGCGAAGATGGTGATCGAGGACATCAAAAATTGTACGATTGTTCGCGATGTTTTGACCGTTTCCTGTTGCCAGAGCAGAAAGAACTGCACGAAAAAGATTGCAAAACGATTCGGTTTGAATGTGATCAGTGCGACTTTGTCACTTTGATTAAACATTCGATGGAACGTCATAGGCGTGAACATTTGGAAGAGAAACCATACAAATGTGAACATTGTAGTAAACGTTTCACACAGTTTGCGTACCTTACCTCACACTTGCCCACACACGCCAAACAATTTCCATTCAATTGTTCGCGTTGTTTCATCGGATTTTCGTTGGAAAGTCAAAAAAATGAACACGAAATATGGTGCAATCGAAATGGTTACAAATGCGCTACATGTGGCTATGTCACACTAAATAAAAAAGATATAACGCGCCATAAGAGGAAACACACGAAGGAAAAACCAAATCATTGTGATCAGTGCGACCGAGGTTTTACCAATTTAATTGCTCTGAAAGAGCATAGGAAGGTACATGTCAATGACTTTTCAATCCATTGTTCACGGTGTTTCGACGGTTTTAGGATGCAAGAGGAGAAGGATGAACACCAAAAAGATTGTAAATTCAATCGATATAATTGTGATCAGTGCGATTATTTTACTTTGATTCAAAACCATATCAAACGCCATTTGCAGATACACAAGAGAGAAAAAGCGAAGAAAAATTTGTCGAAGAATAAATTTAATGATGCACATAAACTTTCGAACATTTCGTTGCCGCAAAAAGCAACTCAAAAAGATAGTTTATCTATTGACATAAATCAACTAGCGTTTGGTGGATCAAAAACAATGCCAAGTGGCTTTTATTCGATAATACCAACACCAGGTCCATACACTTCGACGAATTCACTAGAGCCCATGACAAATAATACAACATTTGAAGCAACTGCTATAAGTACGCCAAAACTACAATTCAATCAACCGCCAGTGTTCTCTTCAAAGCAATCGAACGAATTGGCTAAAATTGATCGTACTGAATACAATAGATTTAATATTTATTTCAATGATTCTTTATAAAGCCCATATAACTCATTTGCGGAGCAATTTTGTCGATGGCGGGACTGTGCGGAGTTCAGCGGAGATAGCATGCAAATGCTGTGTGTACGAGTGCAACAGCATTCTTTGCTGTTCATAGATACTCAATACATAATCATTACATAATCTTAATTCGAGAAATCGATCAAATAACTAAATGTAGATCTTTGAAAAATCCGTATGGGATGCAAAGCTAATTTATAATTAAAACACTAGTTTATACCTTTTTCTATGTAATGTTTAGTCTTAAGAAATTTGCAAATAAAGGTGAATTGAAAATTAAATTAAATTAAATTGCTGTTCATAGATTTATTTTGTACAAACGAACATCTTAGTAGCCGTACACAGACACACAGCTAAGTTATTGGGTGTATCGATTAATTTTTACCGTTTTTTGGGTGAAAATCCATATTTATTTGAATAACAAAATGAATGAGTACATTAACCAATGTACTGCCCATCGTTAGCTATGACTTCCGCCCATCTTCTTGGTAGCTTGTCGATTCCGCGTCGAAAGAATTCCTCATCTTTTGAGGCTATCCATTCATCGATCCATTTTCGCAAACCTTCAGGATTTCGAAACTATATCTCGGACAAACCCATTTACATCGATCGAAACAAGTGGTAGTCAGAAGGAGCAAGGTCTGGAGAGTACGCGGGTTGATCAAGCCGATCCCAACCGAAGTCTTGTACTTTTTTTTTAACGATGTCTGCTCGATGTGGCCTGGCTTTATCATCGTGAAACATAACTTTGTCTTGTTTAGACGCTATCCGTGGCCATTTAATCTTCAATGCATGCTCCATTTTGATTAATTGCATGCGGTAGCGTTGGGCTGTAGTACACGACACCTTTTTGATCCCACCAAATGCACAGCATGACCTTCTTGCAATGAATGTCTCGTTTTGACTGCGATGGTCCTGGTTGGCCTGGATTAACATACGCTCCTTTACGTTTGGGGTTGTCGTAATAGACCCACTTTTCATCGCCAGTGACAATTCGACTAAAAAAAACTATGTTTTTTGTGTTCTTTGAGATGTTCTCTGCATGAAGTGATTCGTGCTTTGTGTTGATTTTCGTTCAGTTGATGTGGGACCCATTTTCCTAGCTTTCCAATCTTTCCCATTGCGTGTAAACGTTCACAAATGGTTGATTGAGAGACATTTAATTCCAATGCTAGTTGTTTTTGCGTTTGACATGGATTTTCATCGAGTAATGCTTCCAAATCCGTATCTTCGAACTTTTTTGGCTGACCTGGCCGTTCTTTGTCGTCCAAATCAAAATCACCACTTTTGAATCGTTGAAACCATTTTCTGCAGCTAGAATCTACTGGAGCTTGTTTACCATAAGTATCCGAAAGCATTCGTTGCGCTTCAGCCGCAGTTTTCTTCGTATCAAATAAGAAAAGGAGAGCACTTCCGAAAAACATTTTATCGCGATCCATTTTGAATTGATAAAAAAATAATGACACTGTGTCGAAAATAAATCTTTCTGCTCTGAATTAGATTGGCAAATGTCAAATGTTCAAAATGCAATTGGATTCACCTGTCAAACTTCATACAAGTTTAAGTGGCAACATCTAACAGTCAGCGGTAAAAATTAATCGATACACCCAATACTAATCATCTGCGTAATAATGATACACATAGATGTGCTGTTACCCTCGTACACACAGAGTTTGTATGTCATCTCCGTTAAACTCACAGTCCCACCATCGTCAAAATTACTCCGCAAATGAATTATATGGGAGGTAACGGTAGTATTCAAAAAAAAAAAGAGTCTTACAGGACGAACTTTTCCGCACGGTGGTAGATGCGTATTCTATTAAGCTAGTTCAAAATAATATTTGTTCGATTTTTCAAGCCTTTCAAGCGGCTATAAGTTCGAGACCAAAAAATATATTAAAACATTGGCATCGAAATATTCTTTAATTTAATAGCAGAAGTACTCGCAAAAGATTTTTCACACTTTCATGATGAACCCATTTCTACGACATTTGAAAGAATTCTATTTTATAATAAAACACTATAAAAAAATATGTCTGGCGTTAATTTTGCCATAAACATTATTTTTGAAACACTTTTCATACAAAAGTAAAAAAATTGATTTTTGTGTGGGAATCATGCCTGTATAGTATCGTTAGGACGTGATTCTTTGCACAGAATATTTTTTTTACAAAAAAATAACATTCGGAGGGTTTTTCGAAGAAATTATGTTAAAACTTAATTGTATCTCAAAACTAACGTCGGATTCGGTTTTCTCGTGTCAAAAAACCCCCCAATACATATTTTTGAGTGTTTAAGTCTTCATTAAGTATGACTTTTGGACGAAATTTGGACTCTTCATAGGTATCATGAAATTTTCCAGGCATAAAATTTTTTTCCATCAACCAAAGTCGCTCAAAATCTAATGATTTCTATTCCTCGCCACCCCCAATCATCCTGTACACGAAAAGTGTGTAAGAAAAAATTGTAAAATAAACTATTGTGATGAATAAAGAGAACAAAAAATGCAACAAATCATCTGAAAATAGGAAATAAAACTTGAAAAAAGTTTTCCTGTTTTCAGGTGATTTGTTGCATTTTTTTTAACACGTTCAATAAGTCCTGCAGGACTAAAAGAAACAATAAACATTTTTTCGCTGCTCCAAGTACATTTAGATTTTAAATAACTTTTCTGGGGGTTGAGATAATCGATGGAAAAATTTTGCGTACGGCGTACAGCGGACAACGTACAACGTACAACGGGGAAGCGACCCACAACAACCATGCTCAAAACGGCCTGATTCGGGTTCTCTGATCTCAGAAACGTCCAGAAAACATGTTTTTGAGATGTCGTAAATTTTGACCCATTGCAATACTTTCCTCTTACACACTAGGTGTGTGCGGAAAAGTAAAAATCAAAAGATTGCATAGTTTACTCAAAAAATGCTATTGACAAAATTGGAACAATTTTTGACAATAATTTATACATCCTGCCTAAAGGCAGGGCTATGCACTAGAGGGTTAATAAAACAATTGTTTTGAAATAAAAATCTACATAATCTTTTCATTAAACTTTTTTCCAAGAAAACTTAAAACTACTGTAATTAGAGAGCTTGAAGTAATTAACATTCAACATTGATGGAACACTTTCTAAATGACAAAAACTACCTTAATGAAGGTTGCCAAATGAATACGTCTAATCAGATACAAAACCTTTGATCATTTTTGTTGCAAAACTACCAATGCAATAATTAAAGAAAGAACCTTCCAAGTAATCGTCTACTGATCCTCTTAGTAACCGAGATAGGGAGATCGAAAAAAATGAAACGAATCGGAAAAAGAAATCAAAAAAGGGAAGGTGAGGAAAACTCATAAAGAGATGCGGAGAGGAAAAGGGACACTCAAAAGGGAGATATTTATACATAGATAGCAAAAGTGGTATAAATAACCTTCCAGTGCTCTGTTCACTCTCACTTTTTTTTGAAGTTTTGAAGTGCGTAGTAAAGACGAGAATTTTTCTAAGAAACGTGTAATTTGTTTTGTTAAAGTAAATTCGCGGTCATCCGCGACAATTAATAAATACAGTTGGATTTTTCCATCCATCATTGCAATCGTTTGAACGACCATCAAATAAAAAAAACTCCTTGCATCAACAGTCAACAGTTTCTTCTGTTTATTTACCACAACCGATGAAAATGTCAGCAACATTATTCCAAAGACGATCCATCGTAGTGCCGAAGATCACTTTCAGTACGTCTGTTCCAAAGTTAATGAATGCTTTAACGAGGTCATTTCAATACTCATCCATTAACATATACGGAGACACACATGGGAGACAGTTACGTGAATCGAAAAATGGGTTGGATTTGTCATTACTACCAACAACATTACTTAAAAATTCGACTAATGACCCGAAATTTGACAGGAAGCAAAATGGCTGTGCCTCAACTAAAACACCAAGAAGACCCAAAATTGGTACTGGATCATCTAATCAGCTAATAGAAACAAAACCACGGAACATCGAAAAAAATACGAAGAAGAAACGGCATCAGTGCGACCGTTGTTTGAAACGCTATAATACCTTACGTATGCTTGACGCTCACATCAAAAGTCACGAAAAAGAATTTTCATATAGTTGCGCCCGCTGTTTTATCCGTTTTTCGATGAAGACTGAAAAGGATGAACACGAAGAAGGATGTAGGATACGTGGACATTTTTGTAATATTTGCAATAAACATTTTGCCAAATTAATTTACTTTCAAGAACATAAGAAAGTGCATTCCAAAGTATTTCCATTCAATTGTTCTCGATGTTTTGACGGTTTCGAATTGCGACAGGAGAAAAATAAACACCAAAAACACTGTAAGGTGCATCGATATAATTGTGACCACTGCAACTATGTCACTTTAATTAAACAACACATGGATGTTCATGTACGAAGACACGCCAAAGAGAAAGCATATTATTGTGTTGATTGCAATAAAGGTTTTGTCCGTTCAATTGGATTTGAAGAGCATAAAAAAGTTCATACCAGCAAATATCCATTTAATTGTTCAGGCTGCTTCGAAGGTTTCATGCTGCAGACGGAGAGAGATGAACACCGTGAAGAATGTAAATTCAATCGATACAATTGTGATCATTGCGATTTTGTCACTTTAATGAGAGGAAAGATGGAAAAACATATGGAAATCCATAAAAAAGAAAACCCATTTAAGTGCAATCGTTGCAAAAAAAGTTTTAGTTTTTTAAATCGACTCAAAGAGCATAAAAGGGAACACATCAAAAATGTTCCGTTCAATTGTTCACGATGTTTTGACGGATTTATGATGTTAAGTAAGAAAGACGAACACGAAAAAGAATGTAAATACAAACGGCATAATTGTGATGATTGTGATTTTGTCACTTTAAATAAAAAAAAACTGGAAAATCATATGAAGTTACATAAGGAAGTGAAATCAGAGGTCATTTTGGATATATCGATCAATTCTCCAAACAACAATCCTGGACCACCACCTATCGCATCACCAAGAAAACAATTCAGTCCTTCGCCACCATCTATCGCATCGCCGATAAAGCAATGTAATCCTTCGCCACTACTTATAGCTTCACCGATAAAACAAGTTAATCATTCGCCACCACCTATCACATCACCGATATCTTCACCTCCAATTGCATCGCCGATAAAACAATTCAATCCTTCGCCACCTCCTATCGCATCGCCGATAAAACAAGTCAATTATTCGCCACCACCTACCACATCGCTGATAAAGCAATGCACTCCATCTCCACCTCCTATCGCATCACCGATAAAGCAATTAAATACATCTCCCGTGTTACCTTCAAAGCAGTCGGACCAGTTGATTGGAATTGATCATGCTGTTTACAAAAGATTTAATATTTGTTACGATTGTTCTTTATAGCAGTTAATTTTTGAAATAAAAACACATTTTATCATTTGAAATATATTGGATCTTTTTTATTTAATCACACAGACTGAAAATTCCAGAGTTAATTTTCTCAAAAACTGCCATCAAAATAGAAAAATGAGAAAAATTCTATCAAAAATCATAAATTTTTTAAAGGGGTAATGCCTCAGCACAGAAAGAAATATTTGAGTAAGGCAACTCGTCTACCCCTCAAAATGAGTTACGCACTCTATTTTACTTCATTTTTGGTATTAATTTCATCCAAGTGAACGCATCATAGTGTAAGAAGAGATAGATGTGTAGTCATTTGTACGTTGCCGCATGCGTTCAGGTCCCACAGGGTGTCATTTATCCCCTCTTTCTCTTTCTCTTTACCGATCTATGTTTAAATATGAATTCTTTGAATTCTATGAAGTCTACAAAGAATTTTTTAAATAAACTCTCAGCCCCAAAGCATAAAATGATGTCTTTACATAGGCGCCATCTATTGTACACATGAAATTAAGTTAAATTTGGTTTGTGTTTCACTAATTTTGCACTCATTTAACTAAACCAAGTACAGAATAGAGGAAAAGTTTATTATACGCCTAAAGTCATATTTTATCTCCAAAATATCATTGCAATGCTCAAACATAGGGAGCTCGTATGCCTGAAACTCAAAAACAATTTTAGAGCCTATGTCACGACTTATGGCCCTGAATCTAACGATTACACACTGAAAGAATGCCTAGAGTTATTTTGACGATATTCATTCAAATGAGATTCTCTAGATTTGCTCGGGTTTTGGCACACCAACCAAAGTTATTTTTATTGCCGTTTGCAAACAAATCATTTGGATTCTATCAATTTGGACTGGCCATCTCTTACGTTCATCTATTTTTAAAAAAAGAAACTATTCTTTTTTTATGAAGGAAGACCTATATTACGAAAATCAAAAAAATCATTCACAAAAAGTCAACGACAAAACATCAGGAAATGGCTAAAAAAAACTGTATTTAAATACAATATAGAACAAATATAAGAATCGAAGTTTAAAATAAATGTTCAATGGACACGTTATAAAATTTTGCAAATATACGTTTTGCTTCTTTCCGAGTTCCTTTAGCGTTAGTTACACATTCAGCATCGCAATTGCAACCGTGATTATTACATTTTCCGAACGAGCAAAAGAAATCACCCCTGGCCATTCCGTCCATACAGATTTGCGATGGGCATCTCCCCTTCGCAGCTGTACATCTTTCATGCCAAAATAAATCGCATGGATGAACAGCTCACAGTCTATTATGGCAACATTTTTTTTGGTTTTGGCATTTACATTATTCGATAGAAATATTGTTATCAACAATATTATGAAAATAACACTTGATTTTCGACCGAGGATCATTTCGAGTAAAATATTGTCGCTCAAAAACAACTTGATTTGCTGGAATATTTTAAAATTCGTCGCTAATCTCAATGCATTCACTAGAACATTAAATGAACAACTGCAAAGATTAAATGCATTTAAAGCAATTTTTCATAAACGACTTTATTAACCCATTTTTGAAGAAATGGAATTCGCTTGAATAGTACTCAAACGCTCACAATTTGACTTTCGCTCAGTTTTATCATTGCCAGCGCCGGAAATCCAATGAAGATAGTTTTATCGTTTTTTTTTCGTGGAATATCTGAAGGCAAAAAATGGAAAAATATTCTTTCGTTCACAACGGATGCAAAAAAAACCCAACTCAATTCAAATGTAAGAAATTCTTTGTCAGAAAAAAGTCGTAAAAAATAGCGGCCGGGAAGCTATGGGTTAATTGAAGTTCAGCTTATCAACAAATGGCCTGTAACCTATACGTTCATTCCTTATCAATTCATAACAAAAATTAATAGATTTACGCAGTGTTTTTTGTACGCGTTATAGAGAAAGTTGTGTTTTTTGGTGATTTCTAACATATTTTAATCACATTGAATCAGTTTTTGATACTCTGAATTGGATCGTATATGTGAGACAGTGTTATTACTAATAAAAATATAGCTGAAACTTTCGCACTTGAAGCAAACAAACGAAACAAAAAGAATTGAGAAGAATTTATCAATCAACGATTTCAGTGTTGAATACCAATTCGTTTTTATTTGGTGACTGTGTGATAATTGTTAAAATATATGTATCTATCCGGAAACGGTGTATTGCGATAGCAAAAATACCTTCTTTTTTTGTTGAATGTGAATTAATTGTGGACTGTAGCGAAAAATAAGAGAATTGCCTAATTTACGGCTGAGCTCATTGTCAGAGGAGAAACTTGTAAGTTTTACATTTTTTTTAATTCAAGGGATTTTTTAGCTATGAATAACAAACAACACGTCTGTGTATTTATAATGCAATTGATTTTGAAACTTTTCGCCTTTTTGCCAGCTTTTGTTTTTACATAAATACCTTACCTTACTCCGTAGGAAACTAACATAAGAGCGTCCGACCATTTGATGTTGGACCACCATTGGTGGTTAATTCACGAAAAATGGGGAGTTTCAGAAAATTGAAGACCAAAGAAGGTCCTTACTTCAAATTTTTTAAACATTTTTCTCAGTTTTTAGGGGAGTTATTCCCATTTACCAGTAATGGCTGGTTTAATTTGATTCTTAAAAAATCCGACGCTCGGTCCTTAGATCACCAAGGCCTTTGGTCTAAAGATATGAACCATACAAAGCGAATATTTCATTTCTTAATGAAACTTTCATTTTAAACCACCAAGACACGAAATTTTCACCTTGGAACTGCTTAGTTCCTTCGCTATATTTAATTGCCGTCACCGATTCCAACATCAAAATGACTTAAAATATCCCGATCTTGCACTAAGATCCTTCCATTCACACGCTCCGAATCGTTTCAATTCGATCAAATCGAATGTTACAGTTTTCTTCGTCCATTTGGCTGCGAGATAAATTTCCTCTTCCACATAAATCATCAATTTTCGTATTCTCCCACATTTTTCACGTTCTCTGTTCAATACATCAAAATTCCATTCTTTAAAATTGATTGCGTCTTTAAGCTGATGTATTTTAGTTTTTCGTAACATTGGTGAATGGTAAATAAATGGTAAAATGCGATCAGATGACACTTCACTGAAATAAATGCCTTCCAAATGCAAACGTTTATTGGAAATGTGTGAAAATTCATTATTTCATCGGTATAGCAAAGAGACAATGCTTTCAGATCATCCAATAAATGGTCCAACTGCACGATGTCACCGTTCAACAATCTTTGATCGAAATCGATTGATTTGTACTTCCATCCATAATTTTCGACTGAACTATGTTGATGGCAAAAATGTCAATTTTCATACTAATTTCCAAAATCGAATGACGATTCTCCCACAATGTTCTTGCATCCGTCGAAAATGTTTGAATATTCGGTTTGAGTTCGAAAAATGTTTTCAATTCGTTGGCTTTGAGCTCATACGAATCGTTCAGTTCGAAATTTTTGAGCGTAGGTTACTGTCCAGTGCAGATGATGATGGATTTATCTTGAACGTAACCCGAACGTGATATATTTAGTGTTTTCATGTTTGAACAGTGTCGAAGGTAGTTCTCGTAGAATTCATCTTTGATGAAGCACTCGTTCATTTCCAACAATTCGACACCTTTCAAGATTTCATTGACACTTTCAAATTTTGCGATTTTTTTGAAGATTTTAAGAAAAAAATAAAAAAAATCTGTAATAACATTGATTTGAGCAAATGAAAGTGCTAGAAAAATCAATTTCAACGAATTCATATGGTCTTATGGTCACTTGTCTACCATGAGCTCATTGCTCGTGGTGTTCTATGAAAATGTGAGTGTTTCAAGCATCAAAACGACTCTGTATTTGTAGAAGTTTTTTAACGAAAAATAAAAAAAAAATAACGAAAATTTATTTTCTTAGAAGCGAAAAACCTTTATTATTGTTTAGAGTTCTGATTTCTTTGGTGATTATTCTCGGATAAATACAAAATTAAATAAAAACTGAAACCATGATCAAAATCCATGTGGTTTATCTTTAGTCTGCTCTTGCTTTTCGTTTGAATCTACACTGTTACAGCCATTGGTGTCGCATGTCTCGCAAAATTCCCTCTTTATATATGATGGTGTATTATTATCATTCACACACTCGTCCTTCGCAGCACCAACTTTTTCCCAGTAACAAGCTCGAAATACTTCAGGCTTACCGTTAACTGCAAGAAAGAAAAATATTACAAATCGATTTTTTAAAGAAAATCCACGCTAAGGGCATACCACGAATTATGGACTTTTTGCAGACGGCTCTTTGGTTTAAGTGAGCTGGTGGATCTGTACATTCCACATAGCTATAACGTCTTACATGTTCGCTTATATTACTTGCATCAAATGGCTCATTACAGAATGCAGAATTCGATGCATCCGATGAACATCTCCAACATTTGAGGGCACATACTGAAAAATTGAAGAGACACCAATTATGCATTACAGGAATTGGTTTGAATAAAATGCACCAAATATATAACGTTATATCAATAGTATTTAAAAATCCGACAGGAACTGGTTTAGTACTATTTTTGTTATGGAAAGAATTTTTAATGTACATAAGATATTTTTCAAATTTTCTCGGATAATAAGAATTGTTTTCGAAATTGAGCCAATGCAATATTCCCCTGCTGATAAGCTACAAATATTCCAACTTCATACGATTTTGTGACGCCAGCAAAGAATCTTATCTAATGACTTGAATGTGACCTTTTAATATATATTCAATTCAATTTTTATTATATTTTTTTCATTTTCTCTTGAATGAGAACGAACTATTCTTCTTATTTTTCATTCTTCAAAACCCCGAACTATAAAACCAAAAAAACGATTTTATCCCTGTTTTCAATTTTCTTTTTATTTGGCAGGTTTTTTCTCATTCAATCTATCCCCCTATCCTATCTGAAAACTACAATTTGTCCCCCTCTGAGATCGAACCTGCGAAATTTTTAAATTTTGAATAAAATAGCAAATTACATATTACATTTAAGTTTCCTTTCAAAACTTCCAACGTATTTCGAGCCTCGTTTGCAATTATAATTGATGATGTGCACACATACCTTGCTGAGTTGAGGCTATGATGAATATAGCACTTATTACAATGGACAAAAAATTGAAAATATTCATTACTACTATTAGCAGAGTATGAACCCTTTAGTAGTGAGTAACAAATTGAATTTGGAAAATATCAAGTCTATTCAACAACTCTCACCAAACGAAACTGTTTTCGAATTTCCAATAGCACTCTGTTTTTATTTGCGATAATCGTTAAAAAAACAACTTTGCAAATAAACGATTTGTAATATCAACAATTTTTTACTTTTCCGCACACCTAGTGTAGGAAAGGTATTGTATTAGGCCAAAAAAATTAAAGTCTCCCCAAAACATGTTTTCTATGCATATTTCATGTAGAAAACACGATTGAAGATGATTTTGGGGCATATTAATATGGAATGACAGTCGTATAAATGTTGATGCTTCGAGAAACTTGGAAGAAGTACGCATTATAACAGTTGTTTTACTAAACTGAATTCATTTCCACATATGCTTACGATAACATTCAATAAAAACGTCAACGTTCTTGATTTATTGGCGTTGAATAAGGAGCTAAGAGATTATTTAGTGCGCGCAAGATCACTATCTACATCCACTGGACGTCGTCCAGGAAGAGGTGTGTTTGGCTATAAAATGGACAATTAAACAGACTGACATCAGTTTGATCTAAATGAATCGAAATACATCTTACGATTGGAAACATGCGTTTTGGACATTTTAAGTCCAACTATAAAAACGTAATGTATTATAATGTACAATTCTATATAGACATGGAATAGCGTCGAATAACGTCGATTTGACGCGCATAGCGTTGAGGTTTCATATGGGTTATCATAAACTGCAAGAGAGAAAAATATTACAAATTGATTTTGTTAAGTATTGAGAAATACGTTTGAATAGTTTTGTAGTGAGTGTAAGACTGACAACTTATTAGAAAACATTAAATACATTGGATACTTGATAACTATAGTAAATCCATAGGCTTAGTTGGTTGATTAATACATTGTTGATTTCTTAGCTCCGTTTGAATTGATCTCTTCAATTTTTGAGTTGAAATTTCTCGATGATGAAGGTTCGTTTTCATAAAGTCTTTGTTGATACTTTTTTTAACCCTCCTAGGTATAGTAACGGTCTATTAGACCGAAAACTTAGAAAAAATATCATAATATCGGAACGCGTCGACCGATTGCCATCAATTTTTTGCCTTTATGCGAGAATAATGAATAAATATTGAAAATAAAATTTAAAATCCTGCCACTGATCTGTAAAAAAAAATATCCCAGAACGACGATAATCCTAACTTGATCGTATAGTTACGGTCTATTAGACCGTCCATACAAAATACAGGGAAAAACATAAAAAAACAAAACAAAGTCACACTTTTTTTTTAATTTTTGTATTTTTCTTTTTTTAAAACACTGAAAGAAGTTTGAATGTTAAAAATAGTTGAATGTAAACAAGTATTGAAATACTGAATGGAAATTGGAAAAACTTCCGATCGATTTTTCTCGCGTTTCCGATGGGACTTCTCGACTTCTAGAACACTTTGGACCAGGTTTGAGTCCACCTAGTCCACAGGATTCGATTCTGGCAACAACATCTATTACTGTAGGAATCACCGATCGATTTTTCTAATTCTCTTCAAAATATCACTTAAAATTAAGTGAAGAGGATGCAGGGATGAGAATTATCAACTTCCAGAACACATTGGACCAAGTCGGATCTACCTATTCCATAGGATACACTTCCAGATCAATTCATCTCACATGATATTATTGATTTTTTCAGCTCTCACTGCGACAATGAGATTTCTTAATCTGGAAGTGCATCCTGTGGAATAGTTAGATCCGACCTGGTCCAATGTGTTCGGGAAGTTCAAAATTCTCATCCCTACATCATCTCTTCTTCATTTCAAGTGATATTCTACAGCAGTAATGTGCGAGCTACATTTTACAGGGGGGGTGATTTTTCAAAAACTAAAAATTCTCTCATCTGAACAACAAATTTCGTTTTTTTTTTTTTTTTTTGCTCTTCACTTTTTTGGCGAAAATCCCTAGCAAATCGAAAGAATTTTCTCCGCGCAAAACCTCAGGAAATTACAAAAAAATCGTTTTTTTTTTTTTTCGGAAGTCACTTTTTGAGGCGAAAATCCCTAGCAAATCGGAAGAATTTTCTCACCCAAACAAAATAAAGAGCTAAAAAAAAAAAAAAAAAACAGGTCTTCACTTTTTTCGTGAAAAACCCTAGCAAATTCGAATAATTTTCGCGAAAAAATTTTTCTCATCCAAATCACAGGGGGGGGGTAAACCCCCCCCTACCCCCCCCTTCGCACATTACTGTTCTACAGTAAATAGCTTTTATAAGCGAGAATAAGAAAAATCGATCGGTGATTCGTACAGTAATAGATGTTGTAGCTAGAAGGGAATCCTGTGGATTAGGTGGACCCAAACCTGGTCCAAAGTGTTCTAGAAGTCGAGCACACCGGGGATAACATGGCTGGAATTTTTTTTTTGATTTTCCCATCGGAAACGCGAGAAAAATCGATCGGAAGTTTTTCCATTTCCATTCAGTATTTCAATACTTGTTTACATGAGAAAGTTTTTTTTTTAACGAAATATTTTTTTTCTAATAGACCGTAACTATCCTATATTGTTTTTATTTCGAACTATACCTAGGAGGGTTAAAACAGCATTGTTTTAATATAATTGATGATGTGCACCACATACCTTGCTGAATTGAGGCACTTATTACAATTGACAAAAAATTGAAAATATTCATTGCTATTATCATCAGAGTCTTTTAGTAGTGATTAACAAGTGAATTTGGAAAAAGTCACTTCTATTCAACAGCTATCGTCAAAATAAACTGTTTTCAAGTTTCTTTTAGCACTTTGTTTATATGTGCTATCTGCAGAGATACAACTTAGTGAACGAACGATATAGGAACGACATTTATATCAATAAAAACGTTCAGAGAAAGTGAGAGGGGTAGAACCGTTATTTAAACGAACTGAAATCTATCAAAATGCATTGCATTCAATGAAATATGAAAAAATTGAAAAACAAAAGCAGCGAAAAGGTCACACCTCTACCATAATTTCATTGCTCATGGTGTTCTATGAAAATGTGAGATTTCAAGTATCAAAACGACTCTGAATTCGTAGATTTTTTCGACGAAAAATCAAAAGAAAATTATAGATTAACAAAAGTCTATTTTCTTACAAGCGAAACCCCTTTATTAATGTTTGTAGTTCTGATTTCTTTGGCGATCATATTAGAACATATAAAAAATGTTATAAATTACGAAACAATGTCCAAATATTATTTAGTTTATCTTTAGTATGCTCTTGGTTTTTGTCCATTTCTGCACCGTTACAGCCATCGGTGTCGCATGTCTCCCAAAACTCCGTCTTTATATACGATGGGATAGTATTATTAATACACTCGTCCTTCTAAGTTTCACCAATAGTTTCCCAGAAGCAAGATCGAGATACTACATGCTTATCGTTAACTGCAAGAAAGAAACATATTCAATTACCAACATCAGCACGTTTTGGTTGAACAAAAACGGTAATGTATTTTTGATCTTCGCCAGCCTCGTTGCTTGCATGGCAAATATACGTTCCCTCATCGCTGCGATTGGCATTATATTTTTGAATTAAACTTTGAGGTGTTGCTGCAAATGGACTCGGCACACCTGATATAAATTGTCCAACACCATTTCGGTCTGGTCGTTTCCATTGCACAGTGGCCGGTGGTGAACCTTCTGCCGAGCATTCCAACCTCAATTCATCACCTTCAGTTATCGTCCAATCTTGTATTTCGGGAAAAATTCGAATGATAGGAGCTTGTTGGACATAAATTACGGACGTTTGGCTAGATGATCCAACTGAATTTGATGCACGACATTCATATTGACCAGCATCCTCGAATGTAATGTTAGAAATTAAAATTGTACCGGCATACTTCTCTTCAACACGCTGTGAAAGTGGTGCGCGATCACTACGTGACCAAATTACATTTGGTGTTGGGATACCCGCAATAGCACGACAGCTGAGCATTGCAGATTCACCGATACGAACTGTCTGTGGCTCACGTCGATAGATTTGAACAGTTGGTGCTTCACGTGCTGCGAACAATATATTACAAAATTTTGTTAATTATATTTAAAGTTGGCTACTTTGTGCTTCAAAATAATTTGAAAACTTACGTTCGATATCAATAACAGTGCTGCTTTCAGCGGTTTCTCCATTTGAAGCTATGCATTGATAGATGCCCATATTTTCCAGTTGAGCATTGAACATTTTTAGTGTGTTACCAATTTGTTGTACATTTGAACCGAGAGAGTCTTCGTAAATCTTCTTCCATGTAATTGTTGGATATGGATAACCAGAAGCTTCACAAGTCAAAGTGAATTCCGATCCTTGGACGACTGTGTACAATTCTTCGAGCGGCTTTACATAAACTGGTTGAGATGGAATTTGAGCACCACCGGTGTTACTGTTAGTAATGGAGACATTGACAACTTTGGGCCAAACAATCGGTGTAATCCAATCGATATAATAAGCAACACGAGTGTTAATGCTGGGCGATCTCAAACCACAGCCATTACTAAAACTAACGATTCCAACTATTGTTGCTTCCTTTGTATCATCATTGGATATGTATTGTAGGGGGCCTCCACTGTCCCCTTGGCAAGAATCCTTACTAAATTTCTGCCCATCTGTATTTTCATCCGGATCGTATACGCAATACTGTCCGGGACCAAGGCCATCTTTAACGGCTGGATCGTTCTTTAATGCAATATCATTCAAATAGAAATTGCTGCATTCGTTTAAAGGTTTTGTATTAACTTCGATTTTACGTAATTCGTTTGATAAAGTCACGACTGAAGTTCGATGGGGATGCAGACAAATAAGAAGTTATTATAAACGTTCGTGAAAAACGGTGTCATTCACCAAATCATGATTTAATAATAAAACAGTTCAACTTACTGTTAGGATTAGGATTAGTGTCACCCCAACTGGCCACAGTCAATTTTTTCAGAGTATCTAAATCAACAATATCTCTGTGTAATCTTGCTGCTCTAATTGTGTCAGTGAAATTAATCCATTTTCTAAGCCCAATGAGTCCAATATCGTTCTTTCTTGTTAATGATGAATATTCTGGATGCTTTGTGAAATTCTAAGAGAACAACAGAAACAATTAAACAGCACAATTATGTACGTGTATCACTCTCACCTTTATGTAATGTTTTTTGACATCATTATTATCGGTATCATTTAGATATAGCTATTTTGGAAATGAGGAAAAAAATACATATTTTGTATTAATCATTTGAAATGTAGTTTAAGAGTGTGCTTCTCACTCACTACTCCCAATAAAACGTAATACGGTGGATGATCATCTCTTAAACAATGTGCAGCTGTCATTACATAATACTCCGATATTATAGTACCACCACATTCAAACCTTATTTTTCCTTTGTTGATGTCGTATACGTTGTCCGCCGTACGCAAATTTTTACACAAATATTTGAATTTCATTTAATATTCTATTTTAATAAAACATACCAGGAATGAGATTGCTCAAAACTGCACCAAAGCGTAGGAAAATTAAGATGATTGATTTCATCGTTTAAATAAACACGTAATTCGATCTGTCAGAGCTCAATATTAATGAGCGGGAATGAAAATATACCACGAACTTTCTTTTCAAATAATAATTTATTTCGACACTCAAATGACGTTGTCTTTTGTCTTTCTCAATACAGAATTCGACAGTTTAATTAAATTTCTTTGTGATAATTTTAAAAAAGTTATTTGTAAATATCTCCAGCTCAAAAGTATAACGACAAATGGGCTGCTCTGAAAATTAAGTGATTTTTTTGACCGCGAAATACACAGAAACAAAATAATGCATTGCTTGAAGCAATTTGCTTCTACTCACTTTAATTAAATGATGTTTTTTCTCGTTTAAAGCCAATACGACTTTAACTACCCGTATTAGAAGAATTCACGCTTCGTGTACACTCGGCACATCTTCGCTACTTAGGCGAATATCAGCAGTAGAATTCACTGCGACATGGTCAAAAACATCAAGTAGTCATATGTAAATGGTTCATTCTCTTTTGTGCGAACTTTCTTTGACTGTGTATAGCTGTGATACAAACACATGCATTAGATGCACGACAGTTCGCAGTGAACTCAACGGCTGATATTCCGTAAAGCAGCGATGATGTACCGAGTATACACGAAGCGTGAATTGTTCTAATACGCGTTACTGAAGTCGTATTGGCTTTAAACGAGTTTAAAGTTAATTTTTAACATTTCTACCGAAATGAAATTCTTCCAAATGTTTCAGCGGTGATAAGTTTTTTTTCACTCGGTGCTGCGGGTTTTTTCACTCCATAATCTATGTTTGGCAAAATCCATAAACCATTGACGCGTACAAAAGATTGAAAAATATGAAATTATCTATTATATATAGAACTGAAACTTTATGTACGTTCTCCGCAACATGCAACACGTTACATGTCATGATGTTGCATTGTGATGTGTTGAAATGATTGATTTGGAAAATATCACTTCTACGAAATGAATTCATATTAGAAGAACTTAAATAATTTGCGATTTTTCGACACAAGTAAAATCAATTTAAAGTTCATTCATTTATTAAATAATGTTCATGAATTTTACGCAGTTCAACAAAACAAATTTTAATATCGCCGACGTGTACACTGTACAGTGAAGCAGAATTTTAACCAGATCATTAAAATTACAAATTAAACGAGAAATTGGTATAACAGTATAACTATTCTTTAATCTAAAAATGTCTAAAAAAAAGTTTGTTTGTGCCTTTTGAAAAAATAAATCTTTTTAAGTCTAAAAATCAACAGATAATGATAATAAATAATTTTAAGTATGGTTTCAATATGTTTTTAACTGATTTATTTCCAAATATCTGGGATCGGAATTTGGAAATACAAATAAATTATTCTTAATTATTATTATTGCAATCATAAATTTTAAATAAATCGATTGGAAGGAATTATTTATTATTTAAGTCTGAAATCACAAACCAACTAAAATGATTTAGTTTGAAAATATTCAAATAATTTTTTTTCAATCAAGACATGCATGAAAATTCAGCTTAAATTATTTGAACATTTTATTATGTGATTTGATTTAGTGACTGATTTCAAATCATTTAATCTCTATGGCATATAAGCGAGAGTGAGATTTCTTAAATAGTTTTATTTTTCGTTGTACCCATAAAAATGTATTGCGAATTGATGCATCACACTCGAAAGAATGACGTGGACCAATCAACGGTCCAAAACACTCTGACTGATAGATGACTATTGTAGATTATGTAATTTTTGTTGTAAATATTTTGGCAGTTAATCACGCCATTTTTTCCATTTACCCTGTAGAAACAGTTTTTGAATTTTAATTCTATGAAATGTTATCACATCTACAAAACGTTCTACGAAAATATTTTTTCGAACGAAAAAAAAAACGTATCGCTTCGAAGCCGCCTATATATTATTCAAGAATAAACGTTTGTTATCATTAATGGTGCGAAAATGAGCATAAAAAAAAAAAAAAAAAATGTGGGGTGAAGCAAACGTAAAATATTTTTATTTATCGAGATTCAGCGGGATTCAGAGATTACATGATTTTATGGTTTATACTGGACTTTGAAAAATATATTTCCTTTTATCATGAGTAGATAAATTAATGAGTTTCTGTTTTTCGGAATTATTTCACTGTCAAAAGTTCAAATGGATCAAAATAAATTGGTGGTAAATGGTGTTCTTCTTTTCATTATTCAACGTTAAGATGCTTCGATTTGAATTCGTGTTGATTTCTCATATTTCGATGCACCATTTGTCCTCTTTCGCAATTTGTTCTCGCTCCTCAGCTGTGTAATCATTCGGAATATCGAATGTACGGCGAATTTCTTCGGGCTTTTTGCCTTTTATCATATTTGCCACGGTTTTGCAAGCGGAATCCATCAGTCCTTTGATGTCCAAGTAGTTGGCAGCCAAAATCAATTCGAACAAAATACCTGTTATAAACCAAACGAAGCCAAAATTAAAAAATCACACTTTTTTTTTATGAACCAGAAAAGAAGAAAAATTCTTAAGATTCCTTACCTTGTTCCACATTTAAAAAGTCGACATCCCATGCCGGAATATCGTCGGTACGTTTTACCTTGTTGTCATCATCATCGGTTGGAATGGGATCATTTTGGTGATGTTTTGCCCATTCCAAAACACGACCCAAAATGTTTGAGTCCACATTCTGCAGAGGCACAGTGGTATCATCTTCTTCTTCCATACCACAATCTTCCAACATGGTTTTGATCGTTCCCGAAACTTTTGCCACATTAGTCTCCACATTGAAGACTTCTCCATCTGATGATTGTAACCGAATAACTGGCATCTAAAACAAAATAAAAAAATTTATTATTATTTTTTCACCGAAAAAAATCGAAAATAATTCAAATAATTATCTCAAATGCCCCAAAAATCCAGAGATTTTTTGAAATCGATGTTTACCTTACGATTTGGAATTAAAAACTTGACGTGAGTGAAAAACAAGGAAAAATAGTTGGAAAGTCACAGTTTAAAGCGATTAAAATTACTTTGGTACTTAATTTGAAGCAATGAAGTTTAGAATTTCAGTTTTTACTTGTGTTATCACTGGCGAGCACGAAACGAATGACTAAAAACGGTCGATGCACCATGTTTTATACACGGTCTGGTTGGTGTTACCCGATAAAATCGTTCCTAATGAATCGGTCAAATGAAAACGTCAATTTTTCTTTTCTCTATGTTACCACTAGAATGGCAAAGGTTCAAGGGTCGTCATTTTTTTCCCGAAAAAAAAACAACTTTTTTGTCTGTTTCATTTCTTTTGCCCTAATTTGTGTTTCTTTTACCATTTCAGGTACAAAAACCTCGACCAGTGTGTTGGTTCTTTGCAACATTGAGTTTTCAGCACCAAAAATTCATTAAGACAACATAGATCAAGGTCCAAAAAGTAAAAAAAAATGTATTCTTAGAAAATGTTAATGAACAAAAAACAATGAAATGACGAAAAAATCGAAAATGTTGACAAATTATCAGACCCCACCATCGCCTATATTGAAATTTGAATCAACAAAAAATACAATGAAAAATACCAAAATGGCAAATAAATCAAAACGGCCCGAACGAAAATATGTGGGAAAGAAACTACACCATTGTGACCTTTGTCACAGAAATTTCACTCTAATCATAAATCTCAAAGAACATCAGAAAGTACACGCCGCCGATTTTCCCCTGAAATGTTCACGTTGCTTTGACGGTTTTATGCTAGAAGAGAAAAAGAATGAACATGAAAACAAGTGTACGATACATCGATATAATTGTGACCATTGTAACTATGTCACATTAATAAAACCAAACATAGAACGTCATACACGTATACATACGAATGAAAAACCATTTAAATGCGATCATTGTTGCAAGCGTTTTAACCAATTATCAAGCCTCAAGACGCACAGCATAACACACGCCAAAAAATTTCCATACAATTGTTCGCGATGTTTTATGGGATTCGGATGTGATGCGGATAGAGACGAACATGAAAATGGATGCAAAAGAAATGGATATCGATGCGACCAATGTGACTACATCTCTGTGAATCGAAAAGATATGGAACGTCATATGCGCATACACCAAAAAGATAAACCAAAAAAATGCGATCGATGTTTCCTCTGTTTTACCTCGTTAATTGACTTTTTGGAACATAAAAAAGTCCATTCCAAAGAATTTCTATTCGAGTGTTCACGATGCTTTCGTGGTTTCATGATCGAAATGGAGAAAAATGAACACGAAACAGATTGCAATCGATATAATTGTAAAATGTGTGATTATGTTCATTATGATAGAAGAGCGATGGCAAATCATAGACTAAAACACGCAAAAGGTCATGTTCGATCAACATCCACTTCATCAAATTCGATTATTGTGAACGCAGATTCGAATTTTGACAATGCACAATCTGGCCGCGTCTCAAATGAGCCAAACGTTTGCAAATCTCACAAAAAACCGAAGAAGTCGAACGAAACGACAAATGAATCGAAGCGTGTGAAACGATACATGCGAAAGTATACAGGGAAAAGACCATATCAATGTATTCGTTGCTTTAGGCGCTATGCTCGGTATCGCAATCTGAAAACACACATGAAAATTCATTCCAAAGAACTTTTGTTGTGTTGTTCACGCTGTTTTGTCATGTTTTCGTGTAAAACACAGAGAGACGAACACGAAAATGAATGTAAGGTCAATCAATATAACTGTGATCAATGCGATTTTGTTACGTTGAAAAAACAAAACATGGAACATCATACGCGCAAACATTTGGAAGATAAACCATTTCAATGCGATCGATGCCAAACTAGTTTTACCCACTCAAATATACTTCAAGATCATAAAAGAATGCACATTAAGGAATTTTCATGTTATTGTTCACGGTGTTTTACCGGTTTTATCCTGCAAACGGAAAAGGATGAACATGAAAAAGAGTGCAATATACAACCATATCATTGTAACCAATGCGACTATGTCACTTTGATCAAACAAACGATGGATGGTCATATGCGTGTACATACGGAAGAAATACCAAACCCGACCAACGATGTGTTGCCGAACGATCGCATGGATATCGACGAAATTAGCAATGGTGAAATCAGCAATAGTTCCGCCGGAGAATTGGAAATCGATATGCCTACTTTTAATCTCAATCCAAACGCACAAAATACTGACACCATGTCAAAATCAAATGAACGACCAAAAGAAAAGAAATGTACACGAATACAGAAAGATACCGGAATAAATAAAGAGCGTAAAAAACGTAAATGTATGAAAGAACATCAATGCAATCGTTGCGATCGAAGTTATACCATTTTAATAAGCCTTAAAGATCATAAGAAAGTTCATGCCAAAGAATTTCCGTACAATTGTTCACGATGTTTTGAAGGTTTTTCGCAATTAATTAAGAAAGATGAACACGAAAAGGGGTGTAAGATAAAAAGATATAGTTGCGATGTATGTGACTATGTTACTTTAATTAATTGCAATATGCAACACCACAGGATGAAACATTTAGAAGACAGACTTAGGGAAAGTTTACCATCATCAACTACAAACATTTCTAAAGATGCTAAAAGTCCGGTGATTGTTTCTTTTCAAGCACCAGTGTCACCGTCGCAACCACCTCTTATCGTCCCATCCAATCCAGTTCTATCCATTGAAATAACTCCAAAATGGTTGGAACAAACAGCAAATACGGTCTTAAAAGATAGATTTCATTTGCCAACGGTTTCATCTAGTTCAATGAACTCTCTTATAATTCCAAAGCAGTCGGACGATTTGATCAGAATTGATCGTTCCTTATGCAGAGAATTTAATATTTGTTTCAACGATTCTTTGTGCTAATTTTCAACTTAATTAGGTGCTTTATTATTGTATTGAACATTGTTTTAGTTTTAAGCATAGGGTAAATCATTGCCAAAACACCAGAAATGCTAACAAGGATCAAAATATTACCGAAAGTTCCGAGAAAATACCAATAGGTACCGAAAGTCCAAAAAAGTACTAATAAAAACTAAAAGTATTGATAAAAATGAAAGAAAGAAATGAGAGATCTATTACGTACGTTTTGGTATCTTTTTTTTTTTTTCAACCATATAATCGTTGGTATTTTGGTACTGATTGACTTCAAGTCTTTTACTAAATGTCAAAGTTGTTAATCATCACTGTCGCTTTATTTATTTAAATTCGATTCTATGTTATTGTTACTTTTCACTTCTTTGCTTCTAAATTTGGGAATTATATTTTAATCATAATACTGAAAAGATGTGGTTTTCAAAAATTATGTATACACTCAACCAGTCTAACAAGAGAAACATTCCATCACTGATATCTATAGTCATGAACATTAAAATGTTTTGAATTTCTCAGATTTTGTAAAACTTTATCTTATAAAGTAATTTTAAAAAATGATCAACGTAATTTATTAATAAGAAATTAATTCAAAAAATCACATAAATGCATTAAGAAATATAAACATGTAGTTATTTGAATAAGATAATGAATGTTAATGCTATGACGGTACGATTGTTTTGAAATAAATGCATATATGTAACGAAAAACGACTTCTTTTTATTCATTTTATTTAAACAGCATATTGATGTCAAGCTCTTTCTCTCGACTTTGCTTAAACTGATTTTTTAAATAATCTGCAAAACCTTCTACAAAGGTGCGTCTCTCATCATTCGTGCTTAAGACAATATTTCGTGAATTTCGTTAGGTTCTGTCATCATAAATATTTGCAATTGGTTTGCATGCAACATCTAACTAATATTTCTTTGATATCTTGGGTTTTGGATTGCCAACAACGTATCCGTATTGAAAAGAATCGCATAAAAAGGGCAAGTTAGTTACACATTTATTTCAAATAATATCTCAAACAAAAATTGAAGGAGAAGTAATTTTCCAATATAGTTAATCAGATAAAAATGTCATCAACTTCTTTTAGTTGAATGCCAATCATATTTTGTATGCATATCAGATGGATCTGCTTAAAGGTGAAAATCTGAACCAAACGTGTTCAATATATTCAAAAATAAAGATTTAAACATTATTATAGTCTCATTTCACTTTTGCTCACACCTAGATGGATTTCTAAAAAAAGATAAGATAAAAAATACACATCTTATCTTCAAAACAGAGTTGTATTTTTCACACTTGGAGTGCGCGCACATAGTAGACTTTGCACTCATAAACTGTGTGCGACGCACACAATGCTTTTATTTTGAATGTGCACACACATTTACACAGAAGTTTGACAGTGGTGATAGGATTTTCAAATTTATTTGAACGACGCCATGTTATTATACTTGTCTATTATAACTTACATGTAACAGAAGAAAAAATAAAGTCCATGTCAACGCTAGTGGACATAAATGATTTGAAGAATATTTGCAACCGTCAATGTGAACTAGATCGAATTTGCTAACATACAATGAAAATGACTTACAAAGTGCGTTTCAAAATACTATCACTAATTTCGACACCATTCTGACTCAAAATATTGACATTAAAAATACGTGTTATTGTTGTTGTAGTTTCAATGCTGCGAAAAATATTTCCTAATTAGTCTATCTCAATGCTTTCAAAATGGCTTCTTCTTGTTGTTTTTACATTTTATTTGTTGAAGTAGAATAACTTCAAATCTTTAAAAGAAATTCTTCAAATTCAGTCGTGTGGAAATCTTCGTTAATGTTATCACAATA